TGAAATAACAGATTTTGTGATATTGCCAGGTCCTGTCAAATGTATGTCAGGTGTCAAATATACAAGACCCTCATGTTTATACAGACATTTGTGAGAATGTCAGAACCTTTCACTGAGACCCAGACCTGTCAGTGAGCCCAGTCATGGATACACATAGGGATCTGCAAAGTCAAATTCACAGACTTCTTGTTTCTCTCTAACCCTAAACTCAGTGTACTGAGAATCCATTCCTAACAATATAACGTTAGGCTCACATTGGGTTTTAAAGCGTTTAATGAAGTAAATCGGTTTGCTGCTGCTCTTTTTCTTTTTGCAAAGTGTTATTTAAAATTGGCAAGGGGAGAATAACTGTCTCCAGGTCTGTGAGTGAAAATTAATCCTCCCAGCAATAGTCCTCTAGCATTTAAAAACAAGGTCCTTAAACCATGCAATAATGACATTTCTGATAGATCTCTAAGAACTACAGTTAAAAATCACAATAAAGTACATTCTGTGGACAAAGCAATGATCTAAAAATCTCCCAACAATTTATAGGTATGTAACTTTTAGTATAGTATCAACCTAATTGTCCTTTATTTTGGCTCATCTAATTTACAAACATGATTTCTGAAATTTAACAGTATTTGTAATGGCAATGTCCAAAGCAATTTTGGCTGAGTAAAGTGCTATTTGTTGAACAAAAATGTAGTTGTTTGTGCAAGTTTAAACATTTCACAAGGCCAGCTGAGTTCATTTCAGCCTTACTTACAAAATAATTATTGGCAAATGGAATGGGCTGGGGGGTAGAGACGAGACGTTTTCAAGCTTCTGAGAGATTTACAAAACCAAGTTCGTCAACCACTGAAAGTAAAATTGAAAGGTCACAGACAATTAGAAAGGTACAGGTTTAAATCTCAGGATTCAAAAGGGGTTCCAACAAGAGGAATATTTACAATGGAACAATGAGGAAAATGTTTTGTTACAGACAGAAACATGGAAAATATGCTGTTGAAAATTGTTGGCTCTGAAATAAATAAAATCCAGACTGAGACTATTAAAAATATCAAAGTGATCTACCATGTGCCAACTCTATATTCTTCTGTTGTTTGTTATAAAGAAAATCCATTATTGAATATAATGCAGTTTTGGTTAAATTATCAAAGACGTTTTCCGAATGCAAACTGTTGTTTACCATATGCTATATATTCTTTTCTAACAACTTTAGTACACATCTATCGCAGACCCACAGGCACAGAGTTACAAGGAAATTTTGAGTCATATTTCACTTCCTAACCAAGGTACAAATTGCTTCCAAAATAGTCATTTGATTCATTTCTATTTAGCACCTATTACGAGCAAGATTTTTTGGATGGCAAAATCAGAGATACAAAAAAAAAAACCTTCAAGATATTCACGGCCTGTTAGGTAGAAGAAAGCATCTTGTCCACTGACTGCCATTATGCCTAGACTGGAGCCCTCTAAAGAGTGACAGCTCACCACATCACAGGAAACCTGTCCCTCAGTGGCTAGCTCAATAGTGAGGAAGGTGTGTGTTAAAGTGAACTTCATTGCAACTAACCTGAGTTTTGTCTTCAGGAATAAGATGGAACACACATACTCTATTGTCTTTAGTGTGGTTTTTTGAAGATGTTGAGAGGACTTTTCCTTTGTTCTGTATCGTTTCTTCCCCCTTCGTGCAGCAAATGAATTTCACCTTTATTTTCACCACCCCTCACCTTACTGTCCTTGGGGATTATAGGAATTATTTCATATCAGTTCAGTGAGCTTAACTGTTCAGGATTCAATATTGCATTTAAAACAGCATTTTCAAATCAGGACAGTCAAAAAATAAGAGCTAGAACCCATTCAATTGGGGATTCTCCTTTTGTCATTAGACTAGCCCTAACAACAGATGTTCAGGGGGGGAAAGGATGGAACACCTAAGGTTTGCCAACACTGTGTGTGTGGGGAGAGGGCATGATCAATCTTTTATAATGAAATACATGTGCTCTAAGACAATGACCAAACTTGGGATCTTAAGATACTTAAATCTAGTGGTCTAAAAATCACAGGATTAATTAGGTCGTGTTTTAGAAATGATGCTACAATGTCAGTTTCTTCCTGGTGAGAAGTACTCCAGTGTCTCTAATGAATAGAACAAGTACTAACTCAAATATAACTTTTCTGCTAGTGGTTATTCGTCTGGCACCTTCTGAAGCGGTGACTACCATGCCCAAGATCATCTAAGCTTGGGAAACTTTATTTCACCTCCAGAATGCCCCCTCAAATCCCACATCCATGCAAGAACACAAAGCCAAGGGTACACTAAAAAAAAAGAGAGACTGTTTTATTGTGACATTTATGACATGGACCCCTTGTTGATAGGAATGACCGAGGGTAATCTTGGCATATTGCACAGGTGTGATGAAGGATGCACTGGTGATCCTCTGGCTGCTGAGGCTGGTTCTTGGTCCTCCCAGACCTCATGCACGTGTGGGCCAGTCACAGAAATTTCCTTACCACTTGGTGTATACATTTAACAAGTCTTTGGTCTTAATAAGCACCATTACAAACCCTCACATTAAGGGCATTATTATTCTAGTTTATACATGTTTCAATGATAAAAAATAGCACGATTACAGTATACACACACTTAATTTACATGTAATGTATTATACTCATAACTGAGATAAGCTACTGAACTAACTTTGGTTGATTGAAATTAATGAAGTATTTGAACTGAATACTTGTAATTTGGTTTCTAAGTTGTGTAAATATTACAGTGCATTTATAAATCTAGTTTGAGAATTTACTAGCACCAAATAGATATTATAATTGGCCAACCTAGTACTTGTGTTTGGAGAAGCAAAGTTTAAAAATTTGAAAAAATAAGACAGTCCACCGACTGAAAGCACTTTCCTGTACATCTGCTAGAAGGCTGGCGCGTCAGCGTGAAGGGCTGACCCCCAATGCAAATACGTGTCCCAGTTTTCAAGAATCAACACATATGACAAGGTAGCTCAGCTACACACATGAGAAGCCTGAGAAAGTGGTTGTTTTGAACTAGGGTAGTCACCTGTACCTTGCTTTTTGTAATACAAGAATAGTGCTAACTTATAGAAATTTATTTGGTGAAAGATTGTACCTATGATATGAAGATTCTGATTGGGGGAAAAAATCCGTTCTACCTATCTATCTTTGTTTTTTTAATTATTTGGTCTCTGTATGGTGAATTAATGAAGCAAAATCTGAATTTTCATCTTCAGATTATCACCCAGTTCACCACTGAGGTAGTCTTTGTCATATTTATCTTCTAGCTGATTAAGTTCTTTCTTTTTATAAAGTGGAGTACTACTGATTTGTAATGAATAGGTTCCAGCCACTGGCTTCTTCTTGGTGAAGTGGAGGTAGCTGATCCCTTCCTTTTGGTTGATTTTAAAGAAGCCATTTTCATTTCCAGATTCGATCAAGTATTTGTTGTGATTTGTCAGAGTCGTCAGGGCCGGGAGGAGCTCTAGGATTCGGACCTTGTTACTGATGTGGGAAATATTGAACGCGAACACGGCTGTCTTCTCAATGTCCCAACTTGCAAGACTCACATTGGTATCTCTCTCAGGCTGGTCCTGGAAAGACACATGGCAATGGGTTAAAGGTAAATATGCCACTCATTTCTCATCTTAAAGAAAAAGTGACTCGAATCCCAGGCTAATACCACGTTCTGCTCAGGTTGTATACACCGTGTCAAAAATGCCTATTCTCATAAAACACTGTTTAAGTCACAAATCTATTAAGTTGGCACATGCTTATAATATTAAAAAAGCTATTTAACTGATGTCAAGTTTGGAAGTCAAGTAGTTAGCTGGAGGTCTTCTCATGTAGTGGGTCTCCAAGTGTGCTCCCTGGACCATAAGTATCACCTGGGAATCTGTTAGAAACACAGGATTCCTGGTGCCCCCTGAGATCTACTGAATCAGAAACCCTGGGTGTGTCTCCCAGCAATCCATTTTAACAAGTCTTCCAGATGATTCTGATGCATGCTCAAGTTCGAAAACCACTGTTTTCATAGACTATTTTCTTTCCATAGACTTATCTCATTTCCCAAACCACAGCGGATGGGTTGAAGCAACCGATGGTAAGAAAGAACCAGTCTATTTCAATTTTGTTCACTGACGCAAAAGCATCCCCTCTGAAGGACACGCCTATGAACCTACTTCCTGACTTTGATGATCTGCTAATATTCAATGCTTTTCACCTGGCTTCTTGCTTGCCTCTCTGGGACCACATGTGCAGGATTCTCTGGGCCTGGCGCCAGAGGTCTGGGTGAATATCTGTGCCTTTCTGAGTTGACTGAAAGGCTGCAGCAGCCGTAGGCAAAGAAAACCAGGCTGCTTGAGCTCCCATGTTGTTTTTGTCTAGAATCCAAGTTCCCTCACACTCCACATGGCTCTTTTCAGTAGAGGAGCCTCTAGCTTTCAGAACTTGGCGTCCCCATGGATAGAGCACTATGTCACTTCACTATTCTGCCCACTTGCTGTCCTGGAGCTCAGACCTTTCCTTTCAGCAGACTTTGGGTGGGTGTTTGACTTTCTCTTTGGCGAGACAGAGGAAATGAGCAAGTATGTGAAAACCTTCGAGTGGCCACTCCCTAAAAGCAGCAAGAAACTCCAGAGAGTCCCACAGACTCTTGTAAAATGTAGCCTAGAGCTCAGGGAATGTCTGGATTTTCTCCCCAGGGAGCTTTTTCACACTTTGGAACATCCTTGGAGGAAACCACAGGAATCTGGAAAGCTCTTCTGCAACAGAAGACATCAGGAGAAACCACCTTCTGACCCACCTCAATGTTGGAGGCATCTGTTTCGTTTGCACTTCTCCGTTTCCTGCCTCGTTTGGGGTAGCCATTGATCTTACACTCATAGCAAGCCTCCGGGGAGAGAGAATTGTCATCCATTTCACCACTGGCAGGTGGCTCCGAGCCTCCTCGGCCCATGCCAATTCCAGAAACACAGTGCCTATAGAGGAAGGGGGGAACACAGCCCTTTTTCATTAGAACTGGGAGATATGGGAGGAGGTACAAGAGTTCTGGTGAAGCATGGACCCCAACCTAGTGACATTTAGCCATTGATTCTTGTTCATTAGGTGATACGCTGGTTCTGATAGCCACATAAAGTCCTCTGTGTTTAGGTTCTGAGTCCCAGTTCCTGGGGTTGGCTGATTTCTTTCTACTATCTCTCAAGGTCCTGTGTCACATATTGATATTCCCCTTCATTTCTGAACCCGACTGTGGCAGGTATTTGCTGTCCTTATGCCAGAGAGGGGACATGGAGTGGAAACAGGGGAATAATGGGGGGTGAGGGAGCCCATGTGAATTGGAAGGTAAAAGGAAAACGTCTTCTTTTTATGAACCAGAAAGTGAGAAAGGTATGAGCCACTACTATTGAGCTCCTTGCCCTCTTCCTGCTTCACTGACCCCATCACTGCTGCCTCCCTTTCCACAACCACAATCATCAGCTTTCATCACTCCAGCTTCTGAGCAATTTCTTCTATTTGACCACTCACTATAGCTGAAGGTACTGAAAATATAAAGTTCTAGGTAGAACTGAAGTTGACTTAGACACAAACTGTAAAGATGTTAATGTGTAAGATGCATGTATCAGAGCTTGCCCAACTGTGGGAAATTGTTTCAAGTCATTCAAAACCACTAGGGCCATTGGCTCTGACTCATGTGAGGCTGGATAAACAAACCCATGCCCAAGAGAGAACTAGTTCAGCTGTTTTTCTTTGCCTTTCAGTTATCAAAGCCAAATTACAGAGGGAGGCTTGCATGTTTCACAAGTACCTTGTTTTGTTATTCTGCTTACTATTTCATAGGCCTCTTGGAATGTATTTACCAGGCTCCTCTTTCAAAATGTGTTGAAATATCTGAATGATCCTAAAAGTCTTTATTTTGGGGCAGGGTCCACTCTAGTGATTTATAAAGAAGCCCAAACGGTTACAAATGGTTAGATTTCTATTAATGGGTCATAATGAAGACCAAATATCTCTCTCTTTCTATATTAGTTGGCCTATTTTCTTATAACCCATTTTCCTTTATGCCCTTAAGATTCAAAATATAATGCCAATAAGCAGAATCTTTTTTTAAAGCAGAATCTTTTTTGTGTTTTCAGCAATATATGGGCTCCTACTATTTTCTGCAATCCTGCCAGAGCCCAATACATTTCCTTTCCTCTTCTTTCATCTTGTAGCATGAAACATGCAAAAACAATAAAATGGATGAAATGATGAATGCTCATCATGTGTGTATGTATACATTCACATAATGATTAAGTTATTAGAAGGAAAACCTCAAATTTGTATGCTTTGCTTCTTTTCTCAGAACTCCTTTCCAGTATTTTCGTATCCCTTGAACAGCACTTACAAGAAGTGTGACTACAAAGTCCCACTGGCCAGAAGCCAGTTTGGAGTGTCACAATTTTTGCTGGGAAAATGGTTCTGGCATTCAACTTATAAAGAATGAGTCTACTGAGAGCCAGACACAAACATCTGGGAATTTGTGTCCTATTGCTGGCATTCTGTGTGCTTCCCATGAAACATTCTTTTACCTTCAAGCCTATATGGACCCAAAATGAATCACTTGAGGTTTGTGTGTCAAGAAATCAAAGGCCACTAAATTAAATTAACTTGATATATACATGTACCTGTACTATGGAATACGTGATTTTGTGGGTTGTATATATGTGTATGTGTGGTTGCATACGTGTGCATGTATATTTCATGTCTTTGTGTTCCTAATGAAAAAGGTAAAAATTGAAATCCTTAACAGGACAGACAAAACTACATGGACATCAAGTCTAATGAATTCAGAGGGGAAAGAGGACCTATATTTGAAAACTCGCCACTAAACTTTCAAATTACTGAGTAAAATAAAAATGTCTCTTCCCTTCCCCAACACTCACACATACAATGTGATGAAGTATTCTACCTAGAGAAGACCATAATTATTTTAACTCTCATATTTCATGCTCTTTGGGTAGTTCTTAATGTAAACTTAAGTCTGAGGTGTAAAATATATTTTAAAAACCAGGTATCTTTGTAATTTATTCTAAGAGTAGAAGGATGAGAAGGCATTTCATGTCAAGTCAGAATCCTGCTTGCCCCAGGAGAAGAGGGGGATCAGCAGTGTGCAGTGTGAGTCCAGTTTTGGCATGGGTCGGCCCCTGCATTTTGGAGAAATCAATTTTCAACAAGAAGATTAAGAGAATGAGAAAGAGAAATATATATCAAGGTATTTACAATTAGTTTCATAGTCCATGAATTTCCAGAAATCTGATGCCTCCCTTCACATGAAATAGCCTAAAACCATTGCAGAGCTAACTAAATGCACTCTAGGATTATAAAAAGCATGGTTTTCCTCAACTAGGATGGGTCATTGGGAATTACATATACTTCAGGAAATCAGGAGCAAGAGAGCCTTTAGCCACAAACAGGAAGAGCAGCGCTTACCCTTGGCCTATTCGGAAGTAACCAGGTGGACAGCCACACAGGTAGCCACCCTCAGTATTGGAGCATCCATAGCTGCAGGGGGCTTGTGCAGAGCCACATTCGTTGATGTCTTGGCACCCTCCACTGAACTGTTCATACTGGAAGCCGGCGGGGCACATGCACTTGTAGCTTCCCAGGGTGTTGTGACAGGAGGCTCCTCCACAAATGTGTGCGCTGAGGCATTCGTTTTCATCTGCAGGGAAAACCAGAACACACGGCATGTGTGACACCAGCCAGGCATTTCCATCAGGGACTGCCAGCCAGCTGGCCCTCAGCTAGCACTCTCAGGAAGGTAGGGCAGGCCGAGGTGGCTGGGGTGGGGAGAGGGATGGGGGGGGGAGGGAGGGAGGGGGAGAGAGAGAGAGAGAGAGAGAGAGAGAGAGAGAGATGTGGAAATGGATGTGGCCTCTTGCCACGTGGTGAGCAAACGTGGTCGATGAGGTCAAATGTACCAGGTGGAGTGCATTAGAGGATGGCATGCCAAGGACCGACAAATTCCAGGTCTCATTTGAAGCCAACACTAGTATGTTCCGCTCCACAGGAGCCTTCTGTGAAGCACGTGGATCTCGTTTGGAGCTAAGGTTCAAGGTTCGGGGTGGGAGGGAAGGAGCCTTCCAGCTCTCTGTGAACGGGACGACAATCTCCAAAGCAGAGACCAACCATACTCCTAGAGGCTGCTTTCCCAGTCCTTTTTCAGGATGTGCAGGGTTGGCAAGGGCTGACATCCTGCAGGAAGTGTCTGCCCCACTTGCACTTCCTTTGCAAAAATCTGCAAAAGCCCCCAGGTGCTTGTCCTGGGGATGAATAGTGCCTTCTGGTATGTCTGCTCCCATCTCTGAATGGGCCCCCCCTTATCCAAACCAGCCTCCTGCCCAGAGTGTCTGGGCCGTGTCTAAAGCAAAGTATGGCTGGAAGAGATTCAGTGCAGACTTCACGAGCAATAATTGGAAAAAACCCACAATAGAGACAGATGCTGCAGGACTGGCTACCCGTAGGCACCTGCCAAGTCTGACAGTAAAAAGCAGGAAAAAGAAATCGAACTATAAAAAATCAACTTGAGGGAGAAAACCTTGAGTATCTCGCAATTTCTAATTTATACCTTTTTGAAATCTCTAATATATTTTTGTAGGCCTGCCTTCGTAGGGCAGGTTGGAAGCTTGCTGGTAAAACATTCCTTAGTCGCCAAAGCCCATTTTCAAGCATATATTCATTTGAAAGCACATCCATTGGCCTTACCTTCACTGAGCAAACACTGCCAATGGAAGGGGGAGGGAAAATGTAACTAACTTTTATTTATTTCATTTTTGTAACTAATGTTTGTTAGATGACCATTGCACGACAGAGTATGAGGTGCTTCCCATTCATTACTCAACCTTTCCAACAAACACGGGCAGTAGGTATTATAATCCCTGTTTTACAGATGACGAAAGTAAGGCCCTGGGAACCTCTCTGAAATCTCCCAACAGCAGCAGCTGGGCAGAGATGCACACCCAAGGTCTGTCTGATGGCAGAAGCCATGTGTTTGCCTTTTTGTCAGTGTCTCTCAAGAGACTCTGCACCACTTAAACTGGTACTTCCTTTGTCTTTTAGTTGGTTTCACCTTTTTTGATTCCTTTATAAAAAACAAAACTGTTTCTAAGAAAACATCTGTACTTTTCTTTTCCCTTTCCCTTTCCTTCTTCCTTCCGTAGGCTCCATGCCCAGCATGGAGCCCAATGTGGGGCTTGAACTCATGACTCAGATCAAGACCTGAGCTGAGACCAAGAGTTGGATGCTTAACCAACTGAGCCACCCCGACACCCCGAAAATACCTGTTCTTAAATTAGAGAAACAGGTGGGTAAAAATGGTGGGGGCAGGGTGCTTGCATATGTATAATATTCTTCCTTCTTTCCTCCCTCCCTTCCTTCCTTTCCTCCCTCTTTCCCTTTCTCTCCTTTTCCTCTCTCCTTCCCTCCTTCTTTCCTATGTGGAAGGAATAAATACACAATAAGAAAACCATTCACTGAACTGCCTGCTATAGTCAGTGTCTAGTGACAGGTCTGTTTGAGGATCCTTTATATCCAAGGACTCTCAAGTATCCACCCAAGGTCATTTAGACTTCAGGGTCCTACAGAAATAATTAAATATGCCACTGCCTTTGTTCTTTTCCCCTTACTTTAAGGCAGAAATGAAACATGTGATAGATCTAATGGAGATCATGGGCACCAAAGAATGAATGAGGAGCTGAGGGTGCTTCCTTTGGTGGAAAGACTATCCCTGGGCTGGATATCTTCTCCTTGCCCCTCCATGTCTATCTCCTGACTTTTCACCTGCCCTCAGCTCCCAGAAGCTGATCTGTATGGAGCATCAACAGGCTCTTCTCCTTCGTCCTGTGCTTTTAATTGGACTCAGCCATCGGTTTCCTGCTGGGACTCTGATAGATAAACCTCTAAGGCAGCCCATGTCCGTATATGTAGGATAAGACCCATCAATATAAAACTTAGATTCATTCCATATTGTTCCAAAGGACAAAAATAGGACCAATGTTTAGAAGTAGAGGGGAGGGGACAGATAATTTTCTATGAAAAAAAAAAAAAAACGTTTCTAAGAATTAAAGTTTTTCTATACAAAATTTGGGCTTTCTTGGAAGAAAAAGAATGCCCTTCCAGATGGTATTCAAGTCAAACTCGGATAACTGGGGAGGTTAGGGAAAGATTTATATTTCAGGAATGAGGTCAGACTAGATAATCTCTAAGGCTCTTTCTAGCTTTGGGCATCTATCTGCATTACTATAAATATCCATCCCAGTCAAGAACTCTCCCCTCCCCTTTCACATTCTTTTCTATTTTACTTTTTTTTTTTTTCTAAACTCTCTGAGAATCTAACAAAGTTTAAATTAAACTTGCTTATCGGCATGAGAGAGCTGGGGTCAAGCAGAGCAGGGATTAAGATAAGAAATTGGCAAATGTTCAATGTTTACAGCTTGAAAAGAGTCTGTGCACTTATCCTGCTCATCAATGTGCAAACACGATTTGTTTCACACACTTTGCCCTATTCTGACCATTTTCATCCTGTGCACTCCAGAGCAAATGGCTCCCGGAGCAATTTTTCTGTACTCCAAAATCTTTTACTCTCAGTCAATACTTAAAATTGGGGAGGGTTGGGACACCTGGGTGGCTCAGGGTTGAGTGTCTGCCTTTGGCTCAGGTCGTGATCCCGGGGTCCTGGGATCAAGTCCAGCATCAGGCTCCCCGCAGGGAGCCTGCTTCCCCCTCTGCCTATGTCTCTGCCTCTGTTTGTCTCTCATGAATAAATAAAATCTTTAAAAATTTGGGGAGGGTTTTGTCCTTTATATAAAGAGAGACATTTTAATTTTATTGAAACATTAGATTCTCCAAAAAACCCTCCTTAGAAGCAGACTGAAACCTATCAACTCTGTCCTCTTAAATCAAAGGCTACAGCATTAGGCTTGCAGAGCATGTGTTAGCTATGGTGTGAAGAGGACCGCTAGGAGAATTCCAGAATGTAGGATGGGCTTTCTTTACAAATTTTCTCTGGCTCAACTCCAACTGCAGCTGCAAGCTTGATATTTTCTACAAAACAATGAGATCCAGTGGCCCCTGACCCCAAACCCATCCATCTTCTAAGAGTGAAATTCTGGCTCCCCAGGACTGAGAATCCAGAGACGTCTGGTCCAAAAGATCTGCTCTGCTCTGCATGGCTCAGGAAAGCCATTCTGGCTCAAGGCAACACTCATTTTGGATAGCTATAATTCTTAAGAGTTATGAGCACAGTTTGGGCTAGTATCTCTCAGGCATCAAAAACCCCTAAGCCTCTTCCAACTTCTTAATTTATTCTAGAACACCCAGCTGGGAGATGATCTTCAAGGGGCCAAAGTAGAATCTTCGGGCAACGAGGACATGACCTGTCCATCTCCACTATCCCCAGACTAAAGGTAAGAAGAGGAAAGGGGGGCTGGTCAGCAAGTTGTGTAGTCTAAACTTTCCCAGCGCTGACATCATTTTAGCCAATCCTACTCACTCCTACAAAACTGTGTCTTGAAAAGTATCAAACCAAATGAGAGAGATGCAGTTTTGATAAATGAAAACACACAAAATGCATCTTCATTTGGAATAAAGCGAAGCACTGAGCAGTGGAGCAGCACCCAGGAAGTGGTAATCCTTGTGTCTTTGCTAAGGAGGGCTCTATACCCAGGTATGTGGCAGCTAGAACAGGTTATCTGAGCAGGAGCTTCACTGTGGTGTGGTGTAGATACTTGAATGAAAAAAAAAAAAAAAAAAGAGTGAACATGACACTTGAAAGGCAGTCCTAAATCAGGAAGTTAAGAATCTGGGGTTCTAGCTCCAGGTGTGCCACAACCAGGATTAAGGACAGATTAATTTTCTTCCTTGGGATTTCAGGTTTTTATAGTAAAACTAAGAGCTTGGGCTAGATGGATCTGAGGTCCCTCTAAACTCAGAGTGCTTGGATTCTCTGATGCACTCTAAGACTGACTTTCCCATGACATTATGGAATCAAAAATGACATAATTTCAATTTAATGAATCTGTGGGTCTCCCTTAATTTTCAAAAGAATTTTCAGCAACCTGAACAAACTTGCCATGTGTGCTGCTTGCACTCTGCCCCAAAAAGTGTGTAGAGCTGAATGGGACTTCTCTGTCTGCAGGCCAAAAGTCACTCAAAATAGCCTTTGGCTGGCTGATATTTTTCAGTTAGAGGTAGGAACTCTGTTGGCCTTCATGTGAAGAGAACTCCAGTGTAGGCCAATGACTACATGCAGCAGAAGAGCAGGGGTGTAGGGGTACTGAGAGTGAAGGAATTCTACGGGCATTTCATTTCCAATATTCTCAAAGTATTCTTTATCATTTTTTTCTCCTCAGTTTACTATTTTGCAAAGGCTGTAACTCTCTGGTTTCAACCAGGTTGGGGCAATTATAAATGACTATCTGTTGATTTAATGACAAGTTTAAAGTTTTCAGAAAGAAAGCACTATTTTGACTCACAGGAGCCAGTAGTGATTTGTCTTGGTAACAAGGAAAAACTACTTGCCAACACACTGGTTCCATTGGTAGTGCTGGAGATAGCCCTGGGGGCAGCTGCACCTGTAGCCTCCAATGATGTTCTGGCAGCCGTGCTGGCAGCGATGGTTTCCTTCACACTCATCCACATCTGAAAACAAAGGTAGAGCCGCCTTTAAGCCACATCAACCCTTGTCTCAGAGTTGTTCTTAGAGGAACATTTATAGGCACACTAATGGGAAAGGTGATTTTAATAAGAAATCTGACCACTAAAAATTATTTTACCACCAACACTACAAGAATATGGGCTCTGGAGGTTTTGATAAGTCCAAGGAGAAAGACATTCAGATATTCCCGGTAAAGTCTACAAATGAAAATGATGGTGAAATTAATGGAAGGCACAAGAGCACTCTATGGGATAGTTGTGTAAACCATTTGTTTTTTTTTTTTTTTTTTTTTTTTAATGATAGTCACAGAGAGAGAGAGAGAGAGGCAGAGACACAGGCAGAGGGAGAAGCAGGCTCCATGCACCGGGAGCCTGATGTGGGATTCGATCCCGGGTCTCCAGGATCATGCCCTGGGCCAAAGGCAGGCGCCAAACCGCTGCGCCACCCAGGGATCCCTGTGTAAATCATTTGTATTTGCTTATTTGTGCCAGGATTAGAGACTAAAAGATGTCAATACAAAAAGGAAATAAAAAAATATAAATTTTAATTACATGTTATCAGAGGAGTCCTTCTTCATTTATTTAATCCACATTAGGGGAATCCTTTTATGGATCTGGATCCAATGACTAGAATATTAATTAATCAAATTCAGGAACCTAGCTATTTTTCTGGACTAATTCATGCCCTATTATATTACATTACTAATGGAGTAGAAAAGGCCTTGATAAGTTGAGGAAAGGCACATGTTATAGACATGATCAAGAATGAGACAAAAGATGGGTCTCTAAGATAGGACACCTGTGCCAACCCCATGAAATATTTCCCATCTTCAGTTGGGTGTTCTCCCTCTGCTCAGTTCTGGTATCTCTTAGAGGATGATGATGAAGGTTCTGAACATCACAGACTACCTCCACCGCGACTTAGCAGCTGCATCTGGCTGAGGACCCTACCCACCTTCACAGCTGGCACCACTCTGATCGAGTGAGAATCCCCGCTGGCATTCACAGGTGAAGCTCCCTGGAGTATTCTGGCAAATACCCTTAGACCCACACAAGTTGATGTCAGAAGTGCATTCATTGTTATCTATAAGAAGCAATGAGGGAAGAGAATTAAAGTTCACTGAAGCTCTCTTTGTGTTGTTGAAAGGGAAGAGAGAGGGACGATTCACTCAGAAAAAGGTCAAATAAGGCCAGTAACTTTTCACGTACAGGTGCGTGCAGGCATACACACACACACATCTTCTTTTTTGACTCCTTTATCATCTTCTTCCAACAGCAGAGGAACCAGAGAATGATTCCTTAAAGGAGTAGCTACCTTTCCTCTTGAGTTTTCTTCTCTCCCACTTACCAATGCAGGCAGTATGGTGTTGTGTAAATCCGGGAGGACATTTACAAGTGAAGCTGCCAATGGTGTTAACACACAGGAACTGGCAGTTGTGCTGCTTAGTGGCACATTCATCAAGATCTATTAAAAAAAAAAACAACCAAGTAATATGAGTATTAGAGTTGAGCTGCTAGCACAGGTACCTACCCACTGCCCTAGGAAGTAGTTCTGAGTTTCTGACTTGTATGTCTCAACCCTGGCCAGAAGAGACACACGGTGAGAGAGACAGCTCAGTGATTTCTTACTCTGTTTTCTAACTACAACATGTTGAGAACAGCGGCACTTGCTGCTGTTCTCACCTCCAGGAACATCTTGTTTCCCCTTGTCTCCTCTTATCTGGATCCTACCCGGCTCTCATGGGGGAAGTGCTGGTCCCACATCTCCCCTGGGCATCCTTTGAGCCTCTTTCCTGTCAGTTTTCATAGTACATGTAATCTGTACCACTGGGTTTGATCTTCAGTCCAACATGCCAAGTATGTGGAAGAATCTAGATGTCATGAGAACAGCAGGTGGAAGGGCTTATGTTTTGAGGGGATCTGTAGGAATCGTGTTGCTTCTCTGCTCACTCTGGAACCCATAAACACAGCATTACTGGTGTGTTTGATACGTTGTGAAAAAACAATGTTACCTCTATATATTTAATTTCCATTTTTCATCTATTAATTGCTAGACCTTTCTGAGGATTTTCTCCCCACAGGCTGGAAAAAGACTGTAAATTTGTTTTGCTTGGCATAGATAATATACACACTGAGAGATATTTTCTCTTTAATTTGGTTCTGTATTTACATGAGTAAGTTTATGGCTCTGAGTTACAGCCTCACACTGCCCAGAGCTCACTGTGATGCACAGATGGAGATTAAGTTCTATGTGTAAGAAGAACAAGGGTGTAAACAACTTTATTAAGATAGATTTTTTTAAAGATTTTATTTATTCATGAGAGACAACAGAGAAAGAGAGAGAGAGAGAGACAGAGACACAGGCAGAGGGAGAAGCAGGCTCCATGCAGCGCTAAACCGCTGCGCCACCCAGGGATCCCCATGATAGTCAGGATTTTTAAGTAGGTCTCTCGACTTCCTCTCCCCAAATTACAGGATTATATAAGATTTGTGCAGCACAGAAAACCTCAGACATTGTTCATCATGTCATCCTGTGTTACAGGTCTCTTAACTCTCTTTTTCCAGTAGACACAAGGTCCTACTTCCCTCTGCTCTCCGCTTTCACTCTGCCCCATCACTTAACTTTTCTTACTTTCCTTTTACTCTGACAACTCTTCATGGCAGAAATGCTCCAACATTTGTTCTGAGATCTGGTCTACCTTTCCTTCTCCAAACCCCTCATTTTCAAAGTTACCCTTAAGTCTGATAGTCTTGTGCTCTTCAGTCAATATGTGAAGCTCTTACCGTTGAGGAAGATGTTTCTAGGAGTAAATTTACACCAACAGAATTTTGCAAAAGATAACTTCTAGTTGAGGAGGGACTGATTTCTGCATAGAGTTCTGCTGCTGCTTAATTCTTTGTGATACTTATGGCTCACATAAGATCATGGAGGGCAAGAATGGCGCTCTTTCACAGAACAAAAACCTCGACAAAGGATTTACTTAATTGGGCACAATGTCTTCTAGGCAGTAATTAATCTGAGGTAGGACAATACCAGAGACCTGGGCTCCGTAGCTGTTGAATTGATTACATAAATAGAATAATGGAAAGCAGAAAGGAAGTAATATATTAGGAATCTGCTCCACCTGAGCCTTAGACCCCTGGCCCCACTCTGAGACCATCATGGGAAGCCCCCATGGATGCCCAAGGGTTGGGTCATGAGGATGGAGGCTGCCACTGTCCCCCCAACCCCAATATTCCTGGCCTCAGCCTCCATCCATCCAGCCTAGGAGGAGGGTGGCAGGGGGATTCCAGGGAGGTACTAAACCCAGGGAAGAAGCACCTCTTGCCTGTGGCGAGCTTGCCTCTGGATTCTTCAAATGCACAAGGAACGCAAAAACATGCTCAGGAGACAGGTGAGAGGGTGCAGGCAAATTTCACTTTACCTTTGCAGCTCCTTCCATCCTCCTGCAGGATGTAGCCTTTTGGGCAGGAACACTGGAAACTCCCTTCTGTGTTTTTGCAGATAAAATTGCAGGGTTTGGGTGCCTGGTTGCACTCATTCAGATCTACGATCAAAACGATACAGTGTGATTGTCCATCTATAATGATGCTCAGTACCCATAGGGTCTAACAGAGAATTTCAGCTTTGAGGAAAGAAAAAAACTCTGTGTTGTCTGCAATCACTGTCTTATGTTTTCCTATGAAATTACAGGGTCTTTTACGATGTTCAGTTTGAGGACTTTATATTTTTTCCCATAATATACAATTT